CCCTCGTTTGTTGTCCTCTTCTCTCTCTCTGCCTACGGTTTACCGGGCAGTTCTATTTGACGATATATATATATATATATCGTCACAAATATATATATATATATATATATATATATATATATATATATATATTACGGAGTCTAGTTCGGGTCACCCGGGGTATTTTCCACCCAGTTGTGGCCCGTAACTGGGCTATCCTAGCACCTAGCCGGCCCAGCCAGGGCAGCCTCTCTCAAAATTGCGCCTGATCCAAGCCCGTCAGTATCAATACGTCAGTGCTGTTGGCTTCGATCAAGGGGGTCTGTCAATCTTCGTTGTCCTCACGAGATTCGCAGGAGGTACATTCATTACTTAAGACCCTATGTGAAGAAGGGTAAGGAAGCCCATGAGCATTTTGAACCAGTTTGGATGTCCGCAGCAAAGTATCTTGAGGCAAAAGAAAAGGAGCTTGACGAAGGTGGTACCAAGCTGATCCGTAGCTTCGGGACCAAACTCTACACTGACTATCCTAAGCCGCCAGTACCCTTCACTCTCACAGATGACTCTTGTTGGGGCGACGTGGTGGATTTGGCCAAGAGGTATATTTCCCCTGCAATGATTGACTATGAGGCGGTAACAGAACCATCTGAGTTCCGACACCTAACGCGAGGAATTTTCTCGCAGCCTTATCTCCCTACATTGTGGGAAAATTTTTGTGCTATGGTTGACTTTAGTACCATGGGACTTGGATGGAAGTGTTCGGAGCTTGCAGTCCTTAGGTGACTTTACATTCAGAAGCCTCAATCTCGGGAAGTACGGGATTATGGCTCAAAGCACAGGAAACGCACAGCCAAAACGAGAGATCAATGTTGAGACCTTAGAGGGATGAGTGAGGACTCTTCAGTAGTGCTGGCCGTGTCTATTCATCTGTACTTTCCTGAGATTATTATGAGTTCTCACTTTTCCCTCATTTATCCTGCCTCGACCTTGAGTCAGCCAGTCCTACTTCATTTGCATTGACTCTGCTTGATGATTGTGCTTTCTGATGATTCTGTCACAGTTCTCAAAATTAGCAAATTGGCAAAATCGATACATGCATCACACACCGGAATCTCATGTTTATTGTTTGCAAAATCTTTGTTGTTCCGAATCAAAATAAAAGATTCCTAAGACCGGGGACCGGCGAAGACCGCAATTGAAGGGTCTCGCTCGAAGCCGGACGCACACAACAGGAAGGGATTTGCTTTAATTAATATATTTTATTTATTGCAAATATTCTACAAAATCCTGCGTGACAGCCTGTTGGCTTTCCGGTCGCCCGAAGTGGCCCGACCAGAAAAGTGCGACAACCTGTCAAGGCAGACACACTTTCCATATAGGAAAGTTTTGTTGCCAACCAGAAGACATTCTGGCCTGGAGCTTGGTGCGTGAGCGCTGCTTCACTGCTCACTTGATTGCACGAGTGATGAAGCTGAAAGCGCAAGGCAGAAGCTGCCTGGTGTGCAACTTGGATGACAGCAGTCATAGCCAGGCCACTTGCTGGACGAAGCCGGGAGGGGGCGAAGTGATCGTCCTTGGGCATGAGGACGCATCGTGGGTGGAGGAGTGATTCGGTGCTTACCTGGTGATGGTTGTGTTGCGTGGTAAAGCCAAAGTCTTCATTCATCATCTGGCAGCTGTACTTCGTGAAGACCTGTTAACGTTATAGTTGGATAGGCTAGTGTATAGGTGTTGTCTGATCTTAGTCTAGGCACCAGGCGCCACATTAGAAGAGCGACATTGGAAACAATGACGGTGGTGGCGAGATGAGAGTTGACATTGTCATTTCAGTTCATTGCTTTGTTCTTTCTTGGTGTATACTCAGTGCATTTTATTTTCTGTTCGAGCACATTGCTTTCTGGCTTCCAATGAGATGATGCAATTTGGTGTTTTTGTACTTCACATGGCTCAGTTTCCTTGCAATGCAGTAGTAGATCCACATGGGCAAAAAGAAGAATTGGATTCAACTGCTAGAATAGTTCAATAAAACACGACTTATTCAACCCTTTCTTTAAACAAGTTGAATTTGCAATGATTCGCAAGTCAATCACCCTCAACCTCGCACACACATGCAACGAGCATCCAGATGAGTGTTCACACTTGGAACCAATAGCCGCGACACGATTTCGACGAGAGGTTGGTATGCAAAATATCTTTATTATACAAAGAAAGTGTTCATGTCTCTTGCAGTCTCTGCCGCTCACACAGACTCAGACTTGAACCAGGTACGTAATAGACTACAGCTCCCTATCCCCTCTCTCTCTCTCTCTCTCTCTCTCTCTCTCTCTCTCTCTCTCTCTCTCTCTCTCTCTCTCTCTCTCTCTCTCTCTCTCTCTCTCTCT